CGCTGAGCAAGGTAAGTTGCATAAAGTAGGTGCTGACTACACATTCGACTGGGTGGGCAACGCCACTTCAGCACCACGTGAACATGGGGTCGGATTTTCAATATCCGATCGCCTCAATGGCCAGCCGGTGGATGAACCAACAGGCATCAGTGCGCGACTGATGACAGTTCGCCTACAAATTGGAGGAGATAAGTTTGATTAATGCTACACTCAGCTATCCTCTGTGATACGGTCTGTGGCGATGAGCGGCGGACTATTTCTGCTGGGTGATTGCAACGCAAGCGTTGGACGTAATGCATCGGTGTTGGCAGACGTTACCGGTCCGCATGGCATTGGTTCAGCGAAGGCGAACGGTGACAGGCTGCTCTTTCGGCCACTCACGGCCAGACGATCACGAACACTCGATTTGCACTGAGTGGGAGTGATATAGCAACTTGGACGCACGCACCGAGTGGCCACACTCACCTGCTCGACCGCGTCATCGCACATCGACGTGACATGCGTGAAGTACGCATGACACGTGTACTGCGTGGAGCTGAGTGCGGTACTGATCACAAATTGGTGCGGACAAAACTGTACATATATTTTCGTAAATCTATGTATTGCACTCCTGCCGTGAATCGACCCGAAGTTCAAATTCTCTCCCTCGGTACTGTGGCGAAACGTATTGCGCTGGAGAAGGCGATGGCTGCACTCCTGTGTAATGTGGACTGCATAGCCACAGTGGGCGACCTGTGCCAGCACATACGCGAGCAGGTGGCAGCTGCTGCCGAAGAGACCATCGGGATCGCAAACTGTAAGCAGTCTCACTGTTTTGATGGGAACAATGCGACGATTTTCCCCTTGGTGTGTGAGAAGAATGCAGCATTTGGTGCACATGTGGCAGATGCCAGTGACTTGGGGAAGAGTAGTCAGTTTCGCAAACTTCGACGGCGACTGACCCGAGAGCTCCGTCGCATTAAAAGTGCATGGTGGACGGAGAAGGCGAAGTATATGGAATGCTTCGCCGAAAGCCGCCAACACAAGGAATCCTTCGACTCCTGGAAGGCCGTGTATGGACCGAGTTTGGAGCCGCTGTGGACGCTAAGCAATAGTAGTTCAGGCGCTACCTGCACACAGACTGCAGCCATAATGCAGATCTGGCGAAAACACTTTGACTGTCTCTTGAACAACCGTTCAGATATCGACTCGTCTACTTTGAACGGCCTCAAGCAGCACGATGTGAAAACGAGCCTGGCGGACACGCCGACACTGGATGAGACGTGGAGAGGACTAGATCAGCTGCGCAACGGCAAGTGTACCGGGGCCGCCGGGATCCCGCCTGAAGTGTTGGAACACGGCGGACCCGCGTTGCTGACTGCGCTGCACCACTTGGTGTAACGCGTGTGGATTGAGGAGTAGGTGACTCCTGAGCTGAAGGACGCCCTTATGCGACCACTGTACAAGGGCAAAGGAGCAAGTAATTTCGCACGAATTATCGTGGCATCAACTTGCTGAGTTGTGTGGGCAAGTTTATTGCCCGCATCCTGCTCAACCGACTAGTCAGTCAGGTTGTGGAACCTAACGTGGCGGAAGAGCAATTTGGATCCCGTTCGGGTCGTAGTGCTATAGATATGGTGTTTGCGGCTCGTCAGTTGCAAGAGAAGTGTAGAGAACGACATCAGCCGTTGTACTCGCTTTTTGTTGATTTCACCAAAGCATTTGATACGGTGAACCGCGAGGCATTGTGGTTGCTATTTGGTAAGTTTGGTTGTCCGAGTATGTGTATAAGTTTAATTGAATGTCTGCACAGTAATATACGGGTGACGGTGCAGCTGAGTGGAGAGACCTTGAATGACTGCACTTTTTACTAGTGTGATGCAAGGCTGCGTCTTAGTTCCTGCCCTGTTTAATATTTGTCTAACAACCATGATATATTGTGTTTTGGATGCAATTTGTGATTCCTTCCTTCGTGTGGAATACCGTGTTGATGGTGGGTTGTTAAACATCCGTCGTTTCGGTACACGAAGTCTAGTCTGTGAGACTACTGTCCATATATTTCTGTTCGCTGACGTATGTGCGTTGTTTGCACATAGCGCGGATGAGTTGCAGCCCATGACTAGTGCTCTGGCTTCGACAGCGGCCAAATTCGGGCTCACCATCATGACATGCAAAACGGTCTGTATGTTTTAGCCTTCATCTTAGGTGTATCTTAGGTGCAATCTGCGATGTTATCGCAAATCAGCATTGTTGACAAAGTATTGGAAGCCACATCCTGGTTCTGCTACCTTGGGATTGTGATGTCGACTGAACAGCAGCTTCACAGTGAGCTTCGTATCCGCGTCTCGAAGGCAGCGGCGACATTCGAGAAGCTAGAGTACCGAGTGTGGAACTATCATCAGCTTACCGTTGTCCCGAACTGGTGGTGTACAAATCCATGGTGCTGTCAATTTTTCTGTACGGCAGTGAAAGTTGGACAATATGCTGGCAAAATATGATATATCACGATCGTTTCCGTCAACTGTGTTTGCGACGGATTTTGCGTATCGGCTGAGGTGATAGATTCGCGGACACGGAACTGTTGCGTTGAAGTGGGATGTATTAGTGGACTGCATCCTTTTGCTGAGACACCTGAGGTGGCTCGGTCATGTGAGCCGTATGGATTCGACGCGCATATCGAAGCAGCAATTATATGGTCAGCTGAGTATTGGGAAGCGGCATGTGGGGAAATCGAAGCTTTGTTACCAAGACATGAGCAAAATGAGCCTCTCAGGTCCTAATCGTGATGGCAGGTCATGGTGCTCGAAGGCGGTTGATCGGCGTACATGGCGTGATCTGATCAAGAAGGCAGTTGCCGAGGTGCAAGAGAAAGCGCTAGTGCATGCAGAGAAGAAGAGGTAATTGCGGAAGCGACAGGCGCCGATGGATTGGACTCCAACGACAGCGAGCGCGTGGTGCTGAAGCACATGCGGTCGCGAGTGCCTTAGTCAGGCTGGCCTAGTGAGCCAGGAGCGAGGCCACTCGGGACTACTACCGAAGCGACGACGGGTCCTGCAGATAACGTAAGCAGAACCGGCGCAGGTTTTGTAGGTAGGCTGCATTCGATGTACTAACCGCGTGCTTATGTGTTGAGTTACTTTATTTCGGGTGGTCGGTATGCTATAGGGTCACATTAATGTCTACGTGAACTACCTTCTAGTAACTAGCACACGTCGCTCAAGTTAATTGTAATTAAGTTTTCTAACATTTTCACGTCTGTGACAATTTCTTAAAATATATTTTTGACATCTTGAACCTAAAACAGGTTTTTGGCAACCAATTTGTTTCATTTGCTCATATGTTTTGCCCCATGTCGAGGCTGATGTTTCATTTATATTGCTTCCCCACCGCAGTTGGGCTAAACCTAGTCACACTTAAACGGTCTTTTAAGCTGGGTAAATTTCATGCCACTAATTGGTTTGTTCTGTCTACCTGAATAATCTATTAACTTGCACATTTGCTCACGATAATTGCACTTATCTTCGTTAACCTGATTACGTTTATAGCATTTTAAGTAACTTCTGGACCTTTTGTACTTATCGCGGATTCATTGCTAACCAACTTATTTCACATGCTAATTTCCTGAAGCCTTATGTCGGCATAGCCGTTTGCTTTAACAGCTATATTTTGTTTGTAAATGTCATTTCAACTGACTGGCTGTTGCATGATATCCCCGGTGCGGCCGCGCTTGTGGTGCATATTGACAAGGTGCCTACCTGTCCATTACCCAGTACCTCGTCTATCCTGGCTCTAGAAGACAGTTGGTCGTTGCTGGAGGGGACAGGGTGCACGGTCCTTGTGACCGTGCTGGGCTCAAAGACTGGTTCCATGCACTCAGTGTGGAGCGGACTACGGTCCAGCCACCGCCTTGTGTGCGCTTGATTCCCCAACTACAGTGTGCTTGTGTTTGCATTTGAAAGAGTGTGGGCCGGCTACGTTGATGAAATTTGGCTCTCATCCACATGCCTCCCGGTCTTATTCCTTTGGGTTTACACTGGATATGGGGTGCGTGGATGGAGCTGTGGACGGTGCAGCGCAAGCCGCCCATGTTCGCTCTATAGGAGCAGGCGTTCTGCGGCTGGCGACCGTGACAGTCAAATCCGAAACCGGATGCCTTCAACCATGGCGTAGACAGATGAGCACGTTTCAGGTCCCTAGGCAGCAAGGTATTCCCAGGGATTATTTCCCATATCTTTGATGTCCTCCCAGAGGATGTTGGGCCATCATGTTCTGAGGAGTTAGAGTGGATGGAGGTGTATATTGTGAAGTTTGGAAGAGAAAAGTTTGCATAGATTCATTTTAAACAGATGCAACCTGGCAATTCCGTTCTGTGACGTGATCGCCCATGCCCATGCCCATGTATAGCGTGAAAGTTGGGCTCTTACAGTCCATCTGTTCTGGTGCTTTAGAAATCATGGACTGCTCATTGTTGGCGGTATCAATCGGCTGAATCTAAGGGAAACATGTTCCACAGATCCATTTTCAACAGATGGCAGACAGCGCTTCTGTTCTCCTAGGTGATTGCCTATACCCATGTATAACGTGTAAGATGTACCCTTGCCATCTATGAAGACAACTGGTCTGGACGCATCAGCTGGTTAATCCGCTGACGCGTACATCAGCTGTCTGGACATATAATGCTTGGCACTAAACGGAGCAGGCTAGTGTCTCTGATCAGTGAATAGCACTCTTTACCTTTTCCGATAGATTATTCCCTAACTTCCACAGCGCACGTCAGGAGCACGTCACCGGCAAAGTGCGACCCTGAGAATGCGGTTCACACAGATGACTGCAACAGTAGGTTGTACGTGGTTGTAGTAAGGTGTGCATCAACGTAGAGGCCAATATCATGTCAAACGTGTTACCTGCCTAGGTGCAATGAATGCCGCGCGGAAGTAACAGTGTTGATTGGAGAATATACCTTAAGACGCGTCATTACAACGGATGAATGTTCAGTATATATAAATACTCCAACCGTATTCTCAAGAGTTCAGGCATCCCTGAGCCAAATCCACAACTGCAATACTCTGGGAGGATACATTCAGGGAAAATTGCGAGCATGTATTACCTCACAGCGGCTTTGTTCCGTTGTATGCGTTGTTGTTAGCGGTGTATTGCGGCGCACGGTGTACAGCCAATTTATGTCCGCGACGGTATCTCCGTCACCGTGCACCCAGCGGACGTGAACCTCTTTGTGAGAACCTCTATGAAAGTGAAGTGGAACGGGGGTTAATCACTTACGATGAATTACTCCGTAGACGTTGGCCTTTCGAGACGCCAATAAGTTGTGCGCTCCGGAAAAGTTGATACCTGCTCCAACTGTTCGGGACATAACCGCAAGCATCATGTGCTTGGTGGCCTCGTTCAGACTAGCAGCGTGTATTGATTAAAAGTGGCGTATGTAGGACTTGCCGCAGTGTTTCAGACAGGACAAACCAATTTATTCCTATTTTCGGCATCCCGCAGCGAGGCGTAGAATACCGCGAACTCGTTAACAGTAGTCATAGACAAAGGCAAACGGTGTTCCGGCAGCGGTCGCAGACGTTTGTATGCCTCACTGAGGTGGCGCATGCTGGAAGTTAGGCTGCTGAATTTCGCGTCTCAAGCTCTGATGCAGTTTAATGCCGCAGATGTAGCCGGAGAAATAGTAAGCTTACCCCACATGCACTTTATGGTGTTCACCACTTTAGCCACTTTGGCTGTTCGTTCCTCAGGTAAACAATCCTGGCGGTCTGCGGGAAGATGACATCATAGGTTGACTTACCGAGGTGTTGTGCAGGTTCCATGACCTGGTGTTCCATGGCACTGACTGTGAGTGGAAGTGTAAATTTCATGATTGCAAGTTAGAATGACATCATGGAGTACCTATGTTCAGTGCAGGGCTTACCTTAATAGGTAAGGTTTCAGAAACCGCCCTTCTAAAATGAATGCGTGGCGCCCTAAAGGTTGAAGGAACGGGTACAGAAGTGTCGCCATTTCCGTTGTCAGTTTCCGGTTGCGGCGGGAGAAAAATAGGAGTTCTAAATAAGACAATGAGAAGACTGGTATTGCGAGATGGAACCATTTCGTGTTATCTGCTCACTCGCAAACTAACAACATAAATATGAATCACGTGACAGAAAACTCGAAGATTTGAAACTGGTCACAAAGGAAAATTACGTAGACGCAAGAATAAAAGATCAACGAGCTTGATCTTAGGGTCATGAGCCCCAAGGAAGCTTCAGGGAAAGTGTTAATTGTTTTTGTACACAAAGAATAGGGCGATGCCGGTTAAGTGCCACCGCCTCGGCAAACCTCAATACTTTGGGGTTGTCATTTCGATAGATAACTGTAAATGTTGACCTAGGGTCAACCTGATGGCCTGATTCGAGTAGATGTCTGGCGATCGATGATGCCGGCAGCTTAGATACCTTTTCTCGTTCGGCTGCTGGTTGTGTCGATATTTTAGCAATCCGTTTTGGGATATGCTCTCCAATGCGCTTACCCAAGGATCGATCTGTTCTGCCAATGTAACTACTACCGCAGTTACAAACAAATAGGTAAATGAAATGGGTTGTGGCGGAGATCGGTTGAGTAGGCTTCACTGGAGGCATAGGCAACTTCCTGGTCTCCAAATGGGGCAGAATTTGGCGGCATTGAATGTCCGACGAATCGCTATATGCAAACGACTTTCGAGTTGGGTGACCACGATATCACCCTTGAAAGGTAATTGAAGGTAGACAGACAGTTTGGGCACAGTAAGTACCCTCGGCCTGTTTTCCTTCAGTTAACTGTGGAATCGAATAAACGCCTCTGGATATCCGTTGGCCCGCAGCGTCTGTGTGATAAACAGCAATTCCGATTCCAAACAGTCGTCAGTGCATATTCTGCGGGCTCGATTAAACAACGTGTTGAGTAAGCACCGTTTGTATTGTATAGGGGCGAAGCTGTTGAAGTGTTCATACAATCCTGTCCATATAGCTTTCCTGTGAACAGAACGTCGTCTGATCAACAACACATCCAAAAAACGGAAGGCAATTGTTATCCTCCAGTTCGCAGGCAAAACGGGCGTTTGGATGTGCGTTATCGAGCACATTGAGAAGAGATAGAACAGCGTCTCCACTTGGGGCGATCATTAGTGTATCATCTACGTATCGCCTGCATAAACACATTTGATTGATGTGCGGCTCACATCTCATTCCATCTCGCAATACCAGTCTTCTCATTGTCTTATTTAGAATGATAAAGGAAACTCAGTGCTTTAAAATAGGTGTTGTTTGTCCGTAGGAAGCTGCCCTATGTTTGTCTCTCTTCCTCGTTGACATGAGCTGGTCGTCCTCGGCAATCAACCGGGTAGGTTTCAGAATAAGAATAACAAAATGAGGTTTAAATCAAGGCAAACGAGACGAGTCTACGAGGCGATCCCATCTGCACGGTGTCTCGTCTGAGCTTAGTCTTTCGGCGAATGATCTTTGCAGTGATCTAACATACTGGTAGTCGTCTGACGTGCAAATTACAAAGCAACTTCACTTACCTGCGTGTGATAGAATTTCCACTTCAAATTTCTATTCCACCATACTTGGTGACAGATTGTCACGTACAGCGAACTTCAAAGCTTGATAAGCTAGTGGGGGCAAAAGGGCGGCTCGCCCATCTGCTCAGAGTCATGTACTGCTTACTAGCAGCACGGGGAAATCGTTCTACAAGTTCACTTTCACAATGTTATACAAAAGCGCGGACGGTGATGCTGAGAGGAATCAGTGCGCTGTGCATGGGATGGAAATGGGAGCGGAGTATTTATACCTAATTGAAGGCCAACAGAAGTACTCCGACCAACATGATGAATTTAGATGCATTAGGCGCAGCGTATTTATAGTACACGTTGCTATATAACCTTGTTTTCCTAAATACATGGTTGTAAGTAGACATGCCACGTAGCAGTAGGTAAGGGAAGTGCAAAGACCATGACATTTCTCATCTACCGAGGACACTCATGGGATGATGCAAAAATTGAGCCCACACATCCATTATAACGGAAGATGATAGGCCTCCGGGAAACATTATGCATTATGCTTCTGCATGGATGTCTGAAAAAAGGACAAAATAATCTCATTCGAGGCTGCCGTATGCCTTTCTAACACATGTGGAACAGCTACAGCAACTACATTATCTGGCAGGCTAGCCGAACAACCTTGTGGTGCCAGCTGGGTGATTCGGGTTTACATTGTTCCAGTAAACAGTTCGACGGCAGTGTTCCAGGACGTGGTGGGTTTTCGCCTGGCAAGTGTCCTCCCTATAAAAAGCCATAAATATCTGTGTAACAACACGGACGTGGCGGTTGTGACTCGCCTCCAACTAAAGTCACCCTCTTGCTTATCAGGACAACCGCTTCAGTCCACAGACATCGCGCATACTTTAGCAGTGGCGACATGTTCAAATAAGATCAAAAGTGCAGGAAAGCATTTTCTAATCCTATAAACACAGTTACACACGCCTACGTGCACATAGATACAAGCTTCCTCAACATACGTGACAAACATATTGTTCCTATATATATTAACTGATACGTTTTTGTACTCTTACCATGATCATGCCTGTGAAGGCGTTCCTCGCGCAGTCCAAAAGAAACGTATTAATTAGTTATTTAATAGCAATCAGAAAACGAGAACAAGACGACCAGTTTCCCAGTTCCACTGCGCAGGAGTACTGGTGCATGTATCAACGAGGTCGGTTCGTTGATCACTTAAGGAACATACAGGAAACACATCGCGAACGGCATTTGAATGTTCGTTGCACGGCAAAATGTACGAGCAGGTGCGACGCTTTTGTCTACCCCTCATTACTATGAACGCTCTAAATAAATATGGGTACTCACAACGTAAAGCAATCAACATTACCAAATAACGTAACAAAAATATTAAACGTACCAACGATGGAAACGCGACGAAGTCAATTGGAGAACAACTAACGTGCGAAAGTTGTCGCATACCAAGCTTCAAAATGACCGATGTAGGGTAGCCAAACCAAAATCAATACACCAAACAGCATAATTAAATGAGGCTGGAAAATAACTTCGTTACTTATAATACCAAAAATAAACGTTATACAGTTGTAAATTGTAGTGGAAAGGCCAAACGGAGAGGGCTTAACTACATATAAGAACTCAGTCTATAAATAAGAATGCTGTAGCTGGCTTTAGGTAAAGCACGATCTTCGCTAGGCCTTCAGTTAGTCGCACAATCTGGTCGGAGGACAGAACTTAGTCGGCACAATAAATCGACGCGTTAGATCCGATGATCGATGGACGAGGCCAGCAGACACAACGACAAACAGCACAACATGCGGAGCCGAAATCAGAAGGCGAATCGAAACCCGAAAAAGTGTTTTATCGGTTGTTGGTCAGTTAAAACAAAACTGTACAATAGTAAGGGAAATGAGAATAGGAAAGTACAATTGGGAAGAAAGATATGTACAAGCGCTACAAAATCATGTAAAAATAGGTAATTCACATGGCAGTTCAGTGTGCGTACTCGTGCGTTACTTACGATTTCCTTACGTTTTCAGACGAAAATTCGTAAGGCGGTGCTAGCAGGGCGGGTACAACAGCTTGGACAGCATGTCAACGAAATCTAAAGAAACGTTTTCTTAAGGCGCGTCCCTAAACTAATCCATACGAACTTAAAGTTCTTACCAAACGACTAAACATGCATCTAACGGCGTTTGAGATCAACTCGTATTAGTACAATGGATGCAGACAATCAGCAATGAAATAAAAGTAGAAGAGATCTCCTGCACTCACTGTGGGGTTGAACAAGGTTGGCAAAGGGGCAGACAAGTAGGTTGTGCATGTGTTTGGTCAAAACGGTCGGGAGTGCGAGGTGAGCAACATTTACTCACAGGGTGAGTGGAAATCCCGGTGGATAAGTAGGATTCGAAGTAGCCCAACCCTTAGCTCGACCTACGTGTCCATTCTACACGCCGGTAGCTAAACATCCGATGGTGCAACATGTGATCACGTTTATTACGCCACTCATGAGTAGCTTGGTTTGAATGAAAATCCTGTGCAAATTGCGCATTCACCATCATTTGTGGTCTGTCTGTCGTAGCGCACTATGTTACCGGTCAAGTGTGCTTAGAGTGGAATCGCGGTGAATGGTCACTTAGCAGATGAGGAAAGTTTGATTCACCTGGATTCGGTTGATCAATTCCACAGGACAGCTCTCCATCTAGTATGTTTCCGCTGGCGCGTAATCAGTTGCAGTGAGCAGCATCATGTATGGGGTATACGCTCGCGCAGTCCACGTTCCAAACACAGCCAAATGCGTGGCGGCGAACCCGTGCAAGACTAAAGCGATTGGAATCATCTAGTGGTTGCTTATCTCTGTATGCAAATTTCGTCCGCTTAGATGCAACCAGGAAATATCATTACTGTTCGCTGCGTTGGATTCGCGCTTCTGCTGCATCCACCTGACGAGCGTAAGCAGTTGCAAAACCTATGATCGGGTGCAGCTTTTGCCAGTAGATAGCACATGGCGATCAGCTGCATCAGATACGTTCTCAGTGACCGAAGGGACCGCAATTCACTTCAACGTCATTCCTGGTCCAGATGCGACCTTGTGTTGCGATCCTTTCGTCAAATAAGCGCGTCCACTAGGTTCACGAAACGTTGAAAACCTTAACAAAATGTTGATTTATTTTAATATCGGACCGTTGACAAAACAGCCGAATATTTTGCTGAATGTTCACCCATGCAGGGTGCATAAAGCAAGTGCTTCACTTGACTTGACTTGACATGTTGGTTTTATGGATGATGGGCACTCGTGACTTTCTTCCCATCGCGCGCAAACACTATCTTCTTCCTCAATTCCCAATGGTGTCCACCTGCGAGCATCAAAGCAAATTCAGTGTGGCGACTCTTATCCTTTCATTATACATGTCGACGTAGGAGATACGAACGACTTTTTGCAGAAATACAACTCAACCTGATGGCAATAAAAGGAGAATGAAAACCAGTGCACTTTAACCTTAAAACACAGAATACACCGTTTATATTATACATGGAGAATGTGGTCGTGATTAGTTCGCAGCTAAGCGTGGTGGAGGAGGGACAATGTAATCCACATCACAATCGCCACTGTGATTGCCACGCCATCTCGTCAACATGAATATACCGCAACAAAGGAGGACCATGATAGAATAAGAGCGCGCCACTCGAACATTGTGCAGTTCTATGGACTCCCAAATTTACACACAGGTGGTGCACCATTGAGGCTGATGATGTCACTTCCGGAAATACCCACCTACAACCTAGCGAAAGAATTGTGGCGACGCCTTAAGCATCTGACCAACTCGATAAGCAATGTCCAACAATTCCTACAGAGGCTGCATCATCTACGAATAGAAAATGATGGAACGATGATCTCACTCGACGTGAGTACTCTCTACGTCCGTCAACTTGCAACTAGCAACAGTGGTTACCTCAGCACATCTGAGCAACAATGAACTTCCAGTCGCGAACATGACGACGGAAACTGTATTCAAGCTGCTCCTAATTTGCCTCTCAACCTGCTCTTTCAACAGGAAGATAATTGAGCAACCGAAAGGTGCACCAACGGGATCACCTCTATCAGGACTCGTCGCGATGGTTATGCAGAACTTGGAGGAAGATGTATGTCCACGTCTTAACACAAACTATGGGTCCGGTATTTCGACGATACGTATGTGATAATTAAACGCAGCCATATAGTAGCCACACACCATCTAATGAACAGCACCGTAGAGGACATCTAGTTTACCGTGGAACCAGAGAAGGAAAGTCAGCTCCCATTCCTAGAAGTAGTAGTAACCAGAAGGATAGAACGAGAGCTGCAAACATCAGTTTATAGGAGAAACACGCACATGGACCAAATTCTGAGCTTCAGCAGCAACACCTGAAATGCCACAAAGTGAGCTGTACGAGGACACTATTCCGCAGGGTGCAAACACACTGCAGTGCCACGGAAGCAAAAGGAAATGAAGAGAAACGCCCGTATAAAACTTTCCAACTAAACGGATATCGACGGAACTTCATCCGGAAATACCTGAACCACAACAGCGCAAACAGACGGCCTACGACAACGACGGACAGATGGATTGTTTTAGCCTGTAGAAGAGGATATCCGAAATAACAAGCAGACTATTCAAACCGCATCATCTTGTCTTGGCACGCAAACCAGTTTCGCTTTGAGAAAACCATGTCAAAGCCAAAAGATAAACCGGAAGTGCATGTACAACGGAACGTGCCATACAGACTGCACTGCAGAAACTGCGAAAAGCACTAGGTTAACCACACATGAAGAAAGCTGGCAACGAGGAGACAAGAACACAAATGTGTCTGCGAAAAACATAACGCATCATTCTTGGTCCCAGCACACGTGGACGAAGAAGTACACTACTTCCAGTGGGCCAAAACAGAAGTATTAGCACCAGGAGAGAGAAGAAGAGAAAGGGAGTTGTTAGAAGCCTCGCTTTCTACGAACAATTCAGTTAACATACATATAGACATAGACCCCGTATAGCACCCACTATGACAAAGAGCATGCGGATGCTGCGCGAGCCAAAACAATCCGATACTTTGATAACGGCCGAGATAATCAACTCAAACCTCACACCGTCTCTACAACTCACAAACCTATGTAATAACAAGAATCCCCACACCCCCCGCATTATTCCGAAGTTAATCAAGAATCAATCTACCTCACTGAGCACAAGGTTGCTCCATAAATCGGGATGAAGCGCCAAAGGAAGACAAAGGCACTGCGATGAACTTAACACGTCGGGACACTAGACCTGCTGCCAAGCATATCAATCGATCCCATTGGTTACCTCGATGAACAGCCAATCAGGAGAAAGCGCATCTAATGTCGCCGTAACGCATATAATGACCGGTGCATTAACCGGTGACATCCATTCCTGAATTTGGCTTCCACGAGCTTTCGCGACCAAGCTACATCCAGCTCTGCATTGATGATGTCGACTTGATTGGGGACGAAACGTTCTCAACCAAATTGCCAAGCTCGAGGAATAGCTGAGCGACTTAACCTTCAGCCCGAGCTACCATTATTTCAAAGCATTGTGGACCCCCAAGGTGACTTTCGTATGGTATCGGGCAGCCATCCAGTAGACGTTTTCTGACTGAATGGCCAGTGCTCAGGATTAATTTAGCAGCGAAGTTATGAAGTTGTGGCCATTATATCAGGCGAAGCCTGGAACATTCAACCGCTATACCTAAATAACGCCTGGGCTTACGCGGTCAAGTCACGGGTCATTGTTTTATATTTTGCTCTGAGTTTCCGCACACCATGCGACTGCTTTTGTCCAGTTGAGCCAAAGGTACACTGCTACTAGAGAAGAACATATTCCAGTCAATGCTTATCATTACGGTAAATGTAATATTGATTACCTCTGCAGTAATTCATACAAGTTCGTCATTGATAGCAAACAAAACCACCAAGTTGTTAATAGCTCTCATTACATCGCAGCAACCGTTCATGTTGGTTGTGTTACAAGTGGTCATTGAAGATTATGATGGAACAATGGAACAATGGTTTATTACGGGTAAAAATGCATCGCTTAACAAGTCCCGTGGGATGGAACGTATTGCGAAAATCAATTGCATAGTAAAGTGAAAAGCGTTGTGATGGATTCACCATAGACTTATGTGGAATAGCGGAGATGTTCGCGTATTAAACGTATAAATCCATCAATCCATTGGTTAGGCGTTTGGCAAGACACTGTTTGATTGCGTTTTGTCGCCCCTGGCTAACAAGTCAGCAAATGAAATGTAAATGAGACAATGCATCGTCAACACGTTTTTTAAATATCGCCAGATTGGGAACAGAGACGACATAATTAGGGCGTTCCAAGGCTGGCACACGCGGAGAAAAAAGAAATTTCTACGGTATTCAAGCCGGCTATAATGAATTGTCAGTTAGTTAGTGTTGTGGTTCAATTCCAGCAGCGGATTTGGTTTGGGTTTGGGTTCTTCAGAATCTGGTAAACCATTATGAGATCCCCCCCGCAAAAGTCGATATCGACTGCTGTACATTCTTAGAGATTTCAGTCTAAGCTGATAGGGCAGATGAAAGAGGCCCCTGACGTTCTTGGTTGCCCGTCGTTGAGGAGTCTCGAGAGCAACGAGATCCTGTTTCTGCCACGGCTGCCACGTCTGAATAGCATATTCCGCGTGAGGTCGCACGTAGGCCTTAAGCATTTGGGGAAAGACTGAGGGTTCAAACCGACCGAAGGCTCTGCGAAGAAGGCCGAAGTGTTGATTTCCGGTTCTCCTCGCCTTCTCTGCTTGTTTGGAACACCCGAGATCTCCCTGTACCAATACACCCAGGTCACGCTCATGAGAAACCTTCGCCAAGGTGTGGTCTCCAATCTTGTAAGCGCTCACCGGCTGGTGACGCAGAGGCATCACTGTGCACTTAGCCAAGTTCAATTGAAGCTTGTTCCTCTTTGACCATTCGTAAATGCAATCTAGGTCATGTTGGAGCAGATTCTGATCTGGCTTGTTACTAATCGCCCGCCATATCTTGACGTCATCGGCGAAAAGCAGGAAGTTCGAGGAGATAACTGATGCCAGGTCGTTGATAAACACCAGGAATAAGCGCGGCCCCAGCACTGAGCATTGTGGGACACCACATTCCACCTCAATTGGGTTAGAAAGTGATCCCCTAACACGTACTTGAAGCTTTGGTTGGTAAAGGAAGTTGCCAGTCCAACCAAGTACAGGATCTCCGATTCCGTAACTTGGTAGTCTTTGAAGTAGGATGCGGTGATCAAGGCGGTCGAAAGCTTTGGAGAAGTCCAGATAGATGACGTCGACTCTGACCCCATCATCGGCCACTTCCGTCCAACTACCTCGTGCAATAAGTAGGTTGGTGGTGCATGACCGGTGTTGACGGAAGCCATGCTGTTCCGGTAACAAGATGTTGCATTTTTCCAGGTAGTCCATTAAAGCCTCAGCGAAGACTGCTTCCATCACCTTCGCGAGCACAGGGAGGAGAGTCACTGGACGATAGTTTGCGGGATCGGAACGGCTACCGCCTTTAAAAATAGGGGTTATAATGCCATACTTCCACACAGCGGGGACTTGTTGTTCATCAAAGCACCTTTGAAAGAACTGTGACAGTGGTTCAGCTAGCTTATTAGCCACAGCCTTCAGTGCCTTCGGGCGGATGTT